CTCTAACGTACCCAGACTAACACAGTGATATAATGTGCACCTGTGTCACCCAGCAACTGCATGTCTGAAACGCCAACATGCACTTTATGCCCCTTTGCCCTGTCGCTGTTAGGTGCTGTGGAGTAGGTTCTGAGCCATAGTGCGACAGAAGGAAGCATGGTGTGCACTGCCCTCACAAGTCTGAACCCACTGCTGCAGCCACGGGGTCACTCTGTCTTGTTGAGGGCCTTCCTCTTCTTGTTGCCCTTCTACTTTACCAAGCATGATGCCCTTCTCCAGGGACTGGTCACTCCTGACCACATGCCCAAAGTATGTGAGACGGAGTCTCGCCATCCTCGCCTCTAAAGAGCACTCTGCCCGTCCTTCCAAGTCAGATGTTCGGTTTCTTCGGGCAGCCCTCAGCACTTTCAATACTCTTTTTCAGCGCCACAATTCCAATGTATCGGTTCAGCGATTCTTTCTCCTAGTAGACGAATAACATTCAAAGAAACGTCTGGGTGACTCCACAGCATCTGTCCTCGGGAAAGAGTACATGAAGGATCTGAGTGGAGGCTCCCTGATTTCTGGTCTTGCTCCACACTGCAATTATCAGCTGAGAAGAATCCAGTGCTGGCACAGGACCCTACTTGGTCTGCTCCACTTGGGCTGGGAAGAAAGGAGATGAGCACGTCAGACAGAGGTTGTGAGACTCCCACTGCACTGTGAAACCTTCCGAGGTCTCGGGAGGACCATATGCTGTTCTTCTTTTTCTCTTGTTGCCTCTTGACTTCATGCCATACCAGCATCAATGAAACCCGGAGCAGGGTTGCTCTTATTTAATTTATGAATCACTGTCTTTTGTGGTTCAGCCAGAGCAAGTCCCTAATTCTCGGCTTCCCCGGTCTGGCAGCAGGGGACGTGTCTGGGTTAGGCACTAAGCTGCTGGGGAACCCCAGGCCTCACGAGTGGCTGGTGCCCCTGTGAGAAATGACAGGCTGACCCAGGTCACAAGTGAGACCCGTTGCTCGGTTCTACCACGTGGTTTCACGTTGATTTTGCGGGGAAGTCAGACCAGGTGCACGCAAGCAGTTGTCCTGTAGCCCGATTCGGGTGCCAGCAAGGGCATGGGCTCTCTTCAGGGATGTAAAAGCTGTAAACGCAGCAAGGGAAGGTGGCTGCGAAGACGTTGCTTTGACGTAAAGTTGGCCCAGCTGTTTCAAAGGAAGGCAGGTTCACCTAACATCGCAGGGCAATTAGCAGTTGTCATGAAGTCAGACATTTGACACCCGGGGACTTACTCCACCCTCTCAAGAAGTTATTTGAGGGATTCAATCATGAGAAGCCTTTGACAGGCTGCAGGCTTAGCCTAAATTATGGTCATATGGCTGGAGGGGGTGGGGAGAGCATGGAGGGGGAACACGATTGATTTTCTGAACCTGATTTGAACAAAATGCAACATCACAACACGCTTATGAATTTACCAAAGGCTAGCGAGCACCAGTTATGCTAAGCTGCCATGCGAGGAAGCTGAGAGAAGCGTCCCATTTATCAGGCTGCGTCAGTGCGCCAATGAAACGGATACCCACACAGCAACCGTGGCCCGGCCTTTGCCAGGGCAACATGTGTTTCCTGTTATCCAGGACGAGCCGACACACAGGACCTGACACTTGGTAGGCACCCAATAGATGAGGAATGCACCGGTGTCAGTTACACTGGAGAAAACGGTTTTATGAATCATGTTTCACGGGGCCATTGCCAAGGACCACTTGCCTTCTTAAAATCCAGCAGGCAGAGTTTGGCTTTCTCCCCAAACTGCCACTTGCACTGCGTGTTCGCGTCGTAGAGCTCTCCGGGCAGCTTCTCTGGATACTTGTACTCCTTCCCGGCCCTGGGCTGGTCGGCCAGGCAGACAGCCTGCGCGGTGCTGAAACACAGGGGCAAGGGCGGCTAGTGAGGGCCCACAGCGTCCGCAAGGGCGTGCGGCGCCGCGGCCCTCGTGTCCTTGTGCACTGTCCTGAGAAGCAGTCACCTTCCTTAGGTCCACGTTTTGACCTCTTCCAGGAAGGATCTCTGTGCTTCCTTAGAGCTCTCCGACTTACCACGAGAGAAGCGGAGATGCGTAATGACGGCCAGATGTTCCACGCGTGCGGCTCCGATTACACACACCTGGAACGCACGCTGCTGGCCGGGGACAATCAAAAGATGGAAGCGGGCATCGTACTAGTCAAAACAAAGCCAATCTATTTCAAAGATGGAATGTTGCTTTTCCCCCTCCCTCCCTTCCTTCCTTGCTAGCTGCAGGAAGCTGGCTCCTGGCTTCTAGAGGTTTCTCATGCAACATTGTTCAGCAACAACGCTCTATCAACCAGAAAAGCATCTGGGTTTTCAACACTCTAAACCTTTACAGACATCCTCAACTTCCAGAGTGACTGGTGGGCTTGAACTACCAATCTTGCTGTCAGAAGCCCAACTCCTAACCCACAGCATCACCGGGGCTGGTTAACAACACTCAGGCCAATGTCTGGCTTGACTCACAAGTCAGGCAGGAGATGAACTCTGGGACAGCCCACTGCCCAGACAGCACTCAGCCTGCTGTCACTGAGTCGACTGGGATTCGTCGTAGAACGACGCCATGGGCTTTTCTAGGCGGTAATATGTACAGAAGTATGTCACCAGCCCTTCTGTCCAGGTGTGACGGAGTGGGTTACGGCTACTGACCTGAAGCTGGTGGTTACATAAACACTGTCGTACTGTTGGGGTGTTTTTCGTTCGGTCCCACTCCGAGCAGCCCTGTGTCCAACAGAAGGGCACGCTGCCCTGCCCCACCCCATCCACATCATCACTCTTATGCTTCAGTCTACTGATGCAGCCAACCCGTCAATCCAACTCCTCCAGGGTCCCCCCTCGACGCGGAAGCCCTTCTCCAAGGACTACAGCCTTCTGATGAGACATCTGAAGAAGGCGAGATGGAGTCTCAGCATCTCCTTTCCAAGGATCATTCTGGCTGTGCTTCTTCCAAGACAGATTTACTTGTTCTGGCAGTTCGTGCTAACAGCTCTCAGGGGGCCTCTACAACTCACTAGTAGGTGGTTTAAGAACAATTAAGGGTCCCTCCCCCATAAACAGAGAGTCCTGTTTCCTACCAGGGATTTTCTGCGGCATGTATTTTCTCCTTCGTTCTTTTCAAGCAACTGCTTCATAATTTTTATGTCTGCAGATAACAGCTAAATCACTCTACAGATTTCATAAGCCAATTAAGCTATGATCACAATAAATAATTGGCAGTTTTGGTCTTCCATGCCTGAAACTATGCCCTAGGTAGTTATCCACCTTGACTGGGCCTGGCACTGCCTCTCAAGCCTCTAAGAAACACCCAGACACTACTGCCTCGAAGCCCATGAGCCTTCATTTCAGAAAGCAGCACAGCACATCAGCAAAATGCCACCAGAGTGCATCTCAGCACATCCTCTCAGTTAACTTCCATGCTCAGCAACGATGCAGGACGGTGCTGCCTGGGCCTCCAGATGGGGTGAAGCTGCATGCATGCAAGGAGCTCCGAAAGTGTTAGCAAGCAAACTGCGAGGGGTAGATTCAATCAGATGATTCAGTTAAGTGTTAAGAGCAGTGCCTGGTTCACTGCAGATGCTTACTAGACAGCTTATCTAGAGGACCATGTTTCTAAGTAGAAAGCAATGATTAAACATATTATTGATACCAACAAAAAGGATTGCTTTAACTCCAGATGAGTCAGCAATGTTGGAACGCTCCACACCTCCTTCTGATGAATCTCAAGGAACTTCTGTTGTTTAGATAGATGACCTCTCTAAGATTTAGCTGGGGTTGGCAACCATATTCCTCTCCTGTGGGCAGAAAACTAGGAAATCAATTACGTTGGTTGATTCACACTCAAACTCATTCGTCGTCATCTAGTTAATTCTAAATTGTAGTGAAGCTACTGCTTATTTACATTTCTAAGTCTGTAAATCCTTACGGGAGAAGAAAGTCTTATCTTTATCCTCCAGAGAAACTAGTGGTTTCGAACAGCTGACCTGTGGTTAATAGTCCAACTTATAACCCATTACACCAGTAGGGCTCCAGATCCTCAAACTTCTTCATTGGTTCAGGATTTTTTTTCTTTTAATTTGTGTCTGTGCAATTTGTTGATTACTCAACCTTAAAACTTAATGCAAAGGAGACTTCTGCTTTGAACTCCGGTGTTCTCCGTGGCATCTAGCAGATGCTTCTACGGGTGTGAGAGAAGGAGTAAAGTAGAAAGGAGTCCTTGTTGTGTGGATGGGGCTGACATCCCATCAGCTCGCATCCAACACCCATCTGTACCACAGAACAACCCTGCCTGGTCCTGTGCTGTGTTTGAGCCCATTGTTGCAACCACTGTCTTGCGTTAATCTGTCTCCTTGAGGCTCCTCCTCCTTGTTGCAAACCCTGTACTTCATCCAGCCTGTCACCCCTTTCCAAGAACTGGTCTCTTCCAGCGGAGCCCTGGTGGCATAGTGACTTACACGTTGGGCTACTAACCTTGAGGTCATCAGTTCAAAAGCACAAGCCAGGCTGCAGGAGAGAGATGAGGCTTTCTACTCCTGCAAAGAGTTATAGTTTCAGAAAACCCAGAGGGACAGCTCCACTGTGTCTTGCTATGAGTTAGAATGGCAGTGAGAGACAAGGTCCGATGTTCTTGAACGGGAATCTCCCCCTCCTTATATCAAGGGACACTCTTCTTCCTTAAAGACTTAGAGCCTCCGACACTCTACAGGGCAGTTCTACTCTGTCCTACAGGGTTGCTATGAGTCAGAATCAACTTGAAGGCAGTTGAAGGCAGTAGGTAGTGAGATGTAAACTGAAGGTCTCTTGGTTGTGCAAATGGTTTGCTCTTGAAGGCTCATCTGAAGGTTAGCAGTGTGACACCACCCACCCTCCCTAGTGACATTTCGGAAGAAAAGCTGAGGATTTGCATTCATAAAGATCACAGCCACGAACTCCCTGCTCTCTGACCGGCGGGGTCATCGTGAGTCAGAATTGACTGGCCAGCAAAGGGATTTTTGGTTATGTTTAATGTAGATTCACATGATTAGAGAGTCAACACATTCACTGACCAGTGGTCGGGATTCCGGTTTTTAAAATAGGAAATTAATGATGAGCCCTCGTTGCCATGCCATTTTAAACACTCATCTAGAATTTACCCCGGCCTCCCAGACACAGACATGAGTCGCAGTGACGAGATCTGTCTGTGGTTGGGAAATGACACAGCTTTATGGACCCTGTGGGGGAATCTCCTCTGGTTAAACATCTGTCTTTCACAAGGTCAGGAAGAAGGAGACAAGCCGCTCAGACAGCTTCAGCCCAAATGAGTCTCTTGCATATGTGTTTTTTTCTATGTGCCAAACGCCAGCCCACTCATGAAAGAGAACAGCCTCATCTTCAATGCGGGTCACTCAGCTGTGCTCATTGCGGGATCCTGTCCAACCGCTGTCACTGTGGGAACATCACAGTGCCCTGGTCACGGAGCAATCAGGCAGCCAGCCAACCTGTCAGGGAGCTTGGGCTTCCTGGTACCAATGAAAAATGCGGCTGACGTCTTCCCAACCAAATGAACTCGGATCATGACTTTGACAAGGAAAGACTCTCTTGGGGAGTTTATTTCTAAATAGAAACCAGTCACATATTCACTCATTACTGTACACCTCGATGTCTCACTGCTGGCTGTACGGTCCTATTGGCATTGTCTTTCGAAGAACAGAAACAAGAGACATAGAGTCTTTTAACATAATGTCTGTGTGCAATAGGGATTTTGTATGATTCCTTGCATGCTGGTTTATAGTATCGAATAGATATTCTATTTCTGAGGGACACAAAGCCAAGAAGATGAGTAAAATCCGTGGAAATAAAGTTTCACTCTGGAATTAATACAGAAGGGTTTGATGACCAACGATTAACACACAACTAGCGAGCATGCCTCCAGGGGGCCTGCAGTGGCCCCATTGTCATCGAAGGAAAGGGGATTACCATTCTAGATTCTTAAGAACCATGCTCTTCACTATCTGTGGGAGAGAGATGAGGCCTTCCACTCCTGTAAAGAGTTACAGTCTCTAAAACCCCCAGGGGCATCACCTTGTCATGTGTGGTTGTTGTGAAGTTCCAACAAGTTGGCTGTAGCTCACAGGGACCCTATGCACAAGAGACCACACCCTGCCTGCCCCTGCACGCTCCTCACAATTGTCCCTGCGAGGAGTCCCCGGTTGCAACCCCTGTGTCCATCCATCCTGTCCAGGATCTTCCCCTAACCCCTAACAGAGCTACCAGATCTTGCCCACCAAAGGCTCATTCATTCTGGGAGCCGAAAACAGGGGGAAAAGACATGGTCCTTTGGGCGGTAAGATCTCTGACTCTGGACTCGCAAGGAGTCGGCATGGCCCCATGGGAATGAGCTGGTGTTTGGAAGTCGGTGGGTGACCGCCTGGGTAGGAAGATGCTGCCGAGCGCTTTCACTGGCTGTCTTTCAGCAGCTGGTCCCCAGGCTTTGCTGGCGAGCTGCCTCTGGGAAGCTCACGTCCAGCCTTTTTATCTTAGTTCTAGCTGCTGAGTGTGTGCATCATCCGTCCCACGCCGGGACTTCAAATGGGAAAAGAAGCTGACAAACCACGCCAGTAGAATCCTGCTCCAACTAGGTTCTCGAAACTGTACGGTTCGAATGGTGCCAGCGTTTAATTTTTCGACTGGAAGTAAAGATAACCATTAGCAACAAAAGACGAATCCTATGTGGGAACACACCTCGAAACCAGCCAGAGGCCAGTTGCACACGGATGGGTGGCTACACATACAGCAGGGATCCTGTACCTCGTCTTCGTCTCATGGGCGGAATAGCTCACTCTCAGTTTTGCCCACAGGAACAGAGCATGTAAGTTGCTGAGACGTGGAAGGAAGCTCACTGTCCTGCTAACCTGGAACCTTCTTGGGGAGGCGGGGGGAGCTGTCAGTATGAATGTTTCCCCATGGACGGCTCAGCCCACCAAACTCAAGAACCATGGGGCTGCATCTCCATGGCGGGCACGTTTTCGCTGGTCAGAATCATGTCATGCAAGAGGGGAGAAGGGCAAGCTCTTTGTTCTTGTGTGTGTGGAAGAGAAGGGTCAGGGAGGACTGGCGGGGTGGGGGGTGGGGGGCGTGCAGGTGTGCATCCATTACTCACTGAGATTCTCTCAGCCACTGATTTCTTTCTCATGTTAATACTTATAAATGCTCTCAAATGACATCATTTGTATAGATCATCTACATACATCTGCATGGTAGCTGGTGCCATCAAGTTGATTCCAACTCACAGCGACTTGAGACAGGGTTTCTGAGGCTGTAATTCCTGAAGGGAGCAGACAGCCTCATCTTTGCCCCACAGGGTGGCTGGTGCCTTTGGACCCTGGACTTTGTGGTTAGCAACCCAACAGCTAATCCACAGTGCCACCAGGGCTCCTTTATAGTTTTCCCTAGAGAGTAATAAAAAAAGGTACTTGAACATACAGCAGATAGCATCCTTGGGTGGTGCAAATGGTTATCATGCCTGGCTGCTAACCATCCGAAAGGATGGAGGTTTGAATCCTTTGCAGAGGAAGTAAGGCCGGGCGGCTCCTTAGAGGCCAGGATGGCAAGACTTCATCTCACAGTCTTTGCACATGTTGTCAGGAGAGACCAGTCCCCAGAGAAGGGCATCCTGCTTGGTAAAGTAGAGGGGCATGGGAAGAGGGAGGCCCTCGATGAGATGGATGGACACCATGGATGAGGCACAAGGGTGAGGCTGGTGCTGGACAGGGCAGTGTCTCATTCTGCTGTGCACGGGGTCGCTGTGGGTCAGAGCAGACTCAATGGCCCCTGACAACAAGAACAAGTAATCAGCAAGGCCTGGCAGCCTACTTCCACTGGGGTCAGCTCTACTCTAACACACCTGGGGTCATCAAGTGCCAGAATCATCTCCATGGCTGCTGCAGTTTGTCCCCAAATGAGAAAAGTAGGCATTGACGCGTCTTGCTAGTCATATTGCAGGAGCAACAAGAATGCCAGCTCATAGTCTGTGCCAGATGCAGCCATCTGGGCACCAAGGAACAAGGGAGAATGTTGAAGAATCAACGCAGTTCCAGCCCAACCTATTCACTCTTGTGCCCAGGCATGTGGGTGCATTCATATGAGGGAGCACAGAGATGTCCGTGGAAATATGGAATGAAAACGTCATAACATATTCCCCACAACTTCTTTGAAGCCTCCTTAAACACTCCATCGGTGTGGGCTTTCCTTGTTTAGTCCGCTTCAGGGATAGATCAGCTGCTTCCTAAACTAAGCACCCTCTGTCACAGACCAGGTAGTGAAAGCGTCCTGGTGGCATCGTGGTTAAAACATTTGGTTACTAACAAGAAGGTCAGCAGTTCTAAGCCAAGACCCGCTTCCAGGGAGAAAAAGGTAGTGACCTGATCCTGTCCTTGGAAACCCTGTGGGACAGTCCTGTTCTGGTGCCCAGCGTCACAGCGAGTCAGGATTTACCCCTCAGCTCATAAGAACCATCGTGTGACGTGCCTGCTGCTTTCCTCTGTGGCTGAACGTATTGTCCTTGGATCAGAGGACAGTGGTCATGTGGGTTCTGCTCTGAGTTTTGCCTCTAGCTGGTTGGCCCCCACTCCCCCATCCACTCGGAGCTCCACCACTTCACCTGTGACATGACTTGGGTGTAGGGAGGTGGCACAGTCACCCTTCTCCTCCCCAATGGGCCTCTTGTCTTTTCCTCCAGATCACGGGCAGACAGCATGCCCCTGCACCCTTGGGAACTGCTCACAGAGACTCCCTCCAGGAACACTACCCGGCTGGTGCTCACTCTGTTTCCCCAGGGTCAGCTGACCACAAGGGAGGACTGGGTGCCAGCACAGGGAAGACCGTGGGGGACAGGTCCCTAGGTCCCTGAATGACTGCACGGAGTAGAGCCTCCACTGTGCCATGGTAAACGTGAGATAGGTCAGAAACCGAGCTCTGGTTTAAGATGTGTCAGCAGTTAAACTCAAAGCCACTCTGATTTGGGGGGGATCGCCTGCTGGACTAACTGATCTAGGGAGATGTCCTTCTTTCTTTGTGATAACTTTTTACTGTGAATCGGGCGAGGTTTACAGACCGAATCCGTTTCCAGTCAACAACTCATACACCTTTTGCTTCATCTAATTGATGTCAAGCCCCACAATGGAGCACCATTTATTTCACTGCCTGTATTTCCCTTTTTGTCCTTGAATACATCGAGTCTTGGGATCTCAAGGCGCTGACTATTCCAAAGAGTGCCCATTGCCCTGGTGTTCTTGCTCCCAAACTTTTCACCTGCTATCAGGAGAGACCAGTCCCTGGAGAAGGACGCCGTGCTTGGAAAAGTAGAGGGGCGGTGAGAGAGAAGAAGACCCTTAAGGAGATTACTTGGCACAGTGGCTGCAACATGGGCTCAAAGGTAACAACAATAGTGAGGATGGCACAGGACCGTGCCGTGGTTTGTCCTGTGGTGCAGAGGAGGCCTCTGAGTCGGAGCCGGCTCCTGCCACTAAGGACAACAGTGACTCGTCCCTTATTGGCCTTTCGTTTGCCTGAAAGTTGAGCCATGGACGTGAGGTCAGGTCCAGGTCGGAAGGGTGAGGAAAGGCCTTCATTTTTTTCTTATATATTTAAAATATACGGATTCTTTCCTCTTCAGGGGCCAACCCTTTCCCCCCAATGTTCCATGCATGAAATGATTTCATTGTAAAATACACTTTTCTAAAAATATTCAAATGCTAGTATTTTAGAATCTGGAAGCTTCCAGTCAAGTTTTCCATCAACTAACAAATGCATTTTGGGAAGAAAAAAAAAGTGGGCTCTACATTAGCACAGGTCCACAGATGTCATTACGCATCAGCTGCTAACTGAAAGGTTGGTGGTTCAAACCCAACAGGCACTCAATGGCCGAAGGATGAGGCAGTCTGCTTCCTAAAGCTGTACATTCTCAGCAGTTCGACACTGACCTAGAGTAACATTTTGAGTCTGAATCAACTGGAAAGCAGTGGGTTTACACAGATGTCTACACATTTCATTTCCCAGGTGAGTGGATGAGGCTGTGTTTTTAAAGAAATGACAATTGGGGGAAAAACTGATGTTGATGACAAAGGTACAAATAAATGTCCCATTGACTTCTTTGAGTCTAACGGTCAAGCAGCTTGGATTTGGTCAGAAGGCCTTGATACTCTCTGGAAGCTTCTAGCAGCCACCTTGAAACAGGAGTGGCCTTTGGATTTCACACTTGAGTGGGTGGAGGGCTGTGCTGTCAGCATGACCAGGCCCCCAGGAATTGAGCCAGGGAGAGCAGAGCGACTGCCCCTGGGACCCCTTACCTGAGAAATTTGCGCAGATACTGGCGACTGCATGGCGACCAGGAGAAGACGCCATTGCGCCCGGCCAGCGTAGGCGACATGATGTTGCCCTCAGACTTCTTGCACACGTTCCCTTCCCCATCGTGGACCATGCCGAAGCTACACAAGAGAGGAGAGAGCCTGTCAAACGGAAGGACAGCTCAGATGGCCGCCACGTGCCCCTTGTGAAGGCTCTCCTGCCTGAGCGAGGCTAAGAAACATGTGTTGGTCCCAGCTTATACATGCACAAAACGTGTCTAAACGTATCTCTGCAACAAGTTCTCTGAGGAACGTCCTTGCAATGGTCTCGTTAGGGTGCCTTCCAGCGTGGTCCAGAATCAAGAGAGTAGCTTCTGAGGAGAACCGCTGAGACAGTTCAATGTCAGGCTGGGAGGTCAGATCGGAAGGTATGGCAATCAGTTTTTTTTCCCAATCATTTTATTGGGGGCTCATACAACTCTTATCAAAATCCATTCATACAGCCACTGTGTCAGGCACATTTGTACATTTGTTGCCCTCATCATTCTCAAAACATTTGCTTTCTACTTGAGTCCCTGGTATCAGCTCCTCATCTTCCCCCTCCCTCCCCCTCATGAATCCTTGATAATTTATAAATTATTATTATTTTATCATATCTTACACAGTCTGATGTCGCCCTTCACCCACTTTTCTGTTGTTTGTCCCCCTGGGAGGAAGTTATATGCAGATCGGTTCCCCTTTTCTACCCCACTTTCCCTCCACTCTCTCAGTATCACCACTCTTTTTAAGGACAGCAGTGTGTGTGTGTGTGTGTGTTGGGAGGAGAGGGGGATCTTGATATGATCTTTGCAAGGAACCAGGGCACTCACAGGAGCTGACCATGAATACATTTTTTTTATTGTTGCTTGTTTAGTTGGAAAATTACAAGTATTTTATTTATTTTTCGTCCCTCCAATCCCACCCTGAGCCCCTTACCTTTAACATCCATTCACCATTTTTTCAAAAAAGTAAATACAAACACAAAACACAGACAATGCTCCTTAGTAAACAAGGAAATTCCAGAACAGTTCGAGTCTAGAATTTTGTTTCCAATATGTGGCACAAGGGATCAATAGAGGAAAAAACAATCAATGGCCCGTATTGATGCATTCGGAATGCTCCTGAGAGTCCGTAAGTGTTTGAATTTTGGTGATGTCATCCTGAAGGAAGCTTCAACAGATTGTGCAAAGAATGATCTGAGAGTAAGTCTTTGATGGGTAATTTTCCTATTTACTTCTGCTGAGGCAACTGAAAGACGACAGCCTTTCCTGCAGCGAGGTTAACGTTTCCTCCTCCTGTGCTTCCCTTTCTTCCTGGTGTTTCCTGGCGGCTGCACTTTGAGGTCTTCCTCTTCCTCATCTGGGGCGATCCGAGTGGCTGTGACTTCCAGACGTCTTTCTGCGTCCTAAACCCTTATTTACCGCAGAACCTGTCCTCCTGCCTGAAGCTCTCTGTTCCTCTTCTGTTGGCCTCATGCTTGCTTTCTGGAGAAGGTGATGCTTTCTCTGAGGGTCTTGCATTTAAAAGTTTTCTGCTAATAAATATGTAACCACAGGGACAGGATTGACTTGCAACCGGAACCGGTTGGTGCACTGGGGCATGACTGGGTGGCCATCTTTACCTGCTCGGCCAAGCTGCAGACATCCTCCTCTCCCCTCGGGGCCACGGTGGCAGCCCACGAATACATTTTAAGAGAATTAAAAACAGCAGCGTTTTGGAGAAAAGGCCCAAAAGGTTGCACTGTGGAAAATTTAATTATGGCAATGCACCTGCTCAGTCTTTGATGGTAACAAGGGCCATCCTGTAAGAATATATTGGAAACTCTCTGATCTTGACCCTGCAGGCATCTTTCTGTTCCCCAAACTGAGAGCATGGGGAAAGGCACACGTTGCCGGTCCCTGGCTTGCACGGGTTAGAGAGCTGGAAACAGCACCTTCAGAAGTATAAAGACCTAGATAGAGGATGTGGTGAAAAGAAATAACTTCACATTTTGATCATTTTATTTAAGTATTTCTGTAGCAATACTTATTGAGTTAGCCATAAATTATCCACAGATAGTTATGATCCGGAGCTGACCCAACGCACCAGAAAACAAACAAACCACTGCCTGGTCCTGCACCACCCTCACGAGTGGTCTTCTGCACGAGTCCATTGTCGCAGCTACTGTGTCAATCCATCTCACTGAAGGCCTTCCTCTTGGTCACTGACCCTCTGCTCTGCCGAGCATGATGTCTTTCTCCAGGGACTGGTCTCTCCTGAGAACATGCCCAAAGTCCATGAGACAGAGCTTCACCATCCTTGCCTCTTAGAAACATTCTGACTGTACGTCTTCCAAGACAGACTTCTTTGTTCTTTGGGCCATGCATGGTACTTTCCAAATACCTCGATTGTTCTTCAGTCTTCCGTATTCAATATCCAACTGTCTCATGTCTATGAGGCACTTGAAAATACAATGGATTGAGTTCAGCACATCTCAGTCCTCAAAGTAACACCTTCTCTTTTCAGCATTCTTAAAGAGGTCCTGTGCGGCAGATTTACCCGAGGCAATGTGTTGTTTGATCTTTTGGCTCCTGCTTCCATGAGCCTTGACTGGGGATCCAAGCAAGATGAAATCCTTGACAATTTCAATCTTTTCTCCGTTTATCATAATGTTATCTATTGAGCCAGTTGGGAGGATTTGGGTTTTCTTTATGTTGAGGATTTTGGATTTCCTCAGCAATCCATATCGAAGGCTACAGCCCTTAATGCTGACCAGCAAGTGCTTCAAGTTTTCCTCCCTTTGAACAAGCGGGTTGTGTCCTCTGCATACCACAGGTTGTGAATAAGCTTGCTTCCAATCCTGGCACCACATTCTTCTTCATATAAGCCAGCGTCTCTGATGATTTTCTCAGAATAAATGTGGAATAAGTATGGTTATAGGACACAACCCTGACACACACCTTCCCAGATTTTTAATTTGCCAGGGCTATTCAGGTCAAAAGGAAACATTACACCAGCCTCAAAGCAGAGAGTGTTCAGGTGTGCACAGTGGCCCTGGGTGGTGCAAATGGGTGAACAGTCAACGATTAGCTAGAAGGTTGGCAGTTCTAGCTCACTCAGAGGCTCTTGGAAGACAAGTCTAGAGCTTTGCTTGGAAAAGTCACACCTTTGAAAACCTTGTGGAGTACAGCTCTACTCTGCACACAGGAGGCACCAGGGCCTACTTGACTCAATAGAGATTAACAACAATGGTGACGCTGAGGTTCCTAGTGTGCAGGGTGGGCATTCTGCCCATACCCCTTCCTGGCACTACTGCTCCCTGGTCTGTGCCTGCAGGGGTGGGGGCAGCTACAGAGGGATAGGTTTCAACTACACCCCTATGCTGATTTTGGAGCGAGCCACTCCATGGAAGTACAATGCGCTGCCATGGTTGGGCTTCAAGATGGGGGTCGCATGCCATTGCAGCTGCTTGTACTGAGTGAAAACCCTACCACTTTGGCGCTCCAGCCGTGGCCTAGAATATTGGTACATCAGAAGCTGTTGTGGCTATAGGAACCTCGGACCAACCCGAGTATAAATCCACCCAAACCCCTCGCCATCAAGTCAATTCCAACTTCTGACAACCTTGCAGAGCGAAGTAGAACTGTCCCATAGGGTTTCCAAAGCTATAATCTTTATGATCCTTTCCAGTGGCTACTGGCTTCAAACAACCACACTTCTTGGATAGCAGTCCAGTGATAAATGACAGTGCCAATTCAGTGTTCAAATTTTGTGGTGGCCATTAGCAGCCTCTGGCTATCACTTGGGAAAACCAGAGGTTCTGTCGTGGATGTGAATCACATGGACCCTGAGTTGCCACCTCCCCCACCAGTGAGTCTTCTCCTTGACTTCGTACTGCATTGACCTTCTGAGAAACTTTCCGGGTCTTCTTCAACTACCCCAGTAGAGCACACAGCACAAAGCAGGACACCAGGCCCTGGGAGGAGAGTCTGTGGTGCTTGGGAGCTCCCGCTAGCCCCTGGAACTTCCTTAAAGGGCAGATTGGATATTGTCTGATAACCATTATTCAAGGAATCCTGGTGGTGCCAGTGCTTAAGCCCTTGACCATGAACCTAAGGTCCGCAGTGCAACCCCCTCAGCAGATTTGCGGGAGAAAGGTTTGGCAGTCTGCTCCCATAAAGATGATAGCTGGAAACCATAAAAGGCAGTTCTACTCAGTTCTGCAGGGTTGCACTAGGAGTCTTGGTGGCATAGTGATTGCACGCTGGGTTGCTAGCTACAAGGTTGGGAGTTTGAAACCAGCAGCAGCTTTCTACTCCTGTAAAGAGTTACAGTCCTGTAGAGAGTTACGTCTCAGAAACCCACAGGGACAGTTCTACCCTATACTAAAGGGTCGCTATGAATCAGACTTAACTCAGTGGCAGAGAGCTTGGTTTGGTAAACGTTTCTCTCTGTTGGAATGAACTCAGCACACCAAGGAACCACTGTTGCCCGTGAATGCCTGATTTCCACCCCCTGCACTGTCTCACCAATAGCTCGGTCCTGAGGGGATGAGAAAGGACGGAAAGGGGAAGAACAGGAGAGGGAAGAATCTGGAAAAGACGAGACTGTTTGCTCCTGGACTGGCTGACGTTCTGCGGCCAAGGTCCCCGTGGTGAGCAGAAGAATGGGACAGGAGGAACTGGGCCTGTTGCTGGGGGTGAAGGCATGAATTCCCACTTGCACACTTGGCTTGGAAACAGTTGCTATGGAGCTGACTCACACTCAGGACAACCCCACGGATGTCAGAGAAGAATCACTTCCCAAGTGTCTTCAAGGTTGATCTTTGGGATGCAGGCGGTCAAGCCTTTTTGCTGAGGTTCCTCAGTGTGAATTTAAATCAACTGACTTTCAATTGGTAGCTGAGTGCTATAACATCTGCACAAAGGATACCAACTCCTTGATTATAAACCCTAACAAACCAATAGAAAGAGAAGAAAAAAATCCCACTGCCATTGAGTCAATTTGGACCCATAGTGACCTAAAAGGACAAAGTAGGATTGGTCTATTGCAGTGGCTCTCAACCTGTGGGTCGTGACCCCTTTTGGGGGTCAAGCAACCCTTTCACAGGGGTCACTCAATTC